CCAAAAGCAGAAGCGCAGACAAGAAAGAGTGAGACCATGGTTTACCCAGACATGCAAAGGGGCAAAGGCTAAAAGTGCAAGAGCATGGAATAAATATGGAAAGACCGCTGAGAAATAGATAGAAACGAATTTGCATCAATAAGACAGGCTCAACGACAATTTGTGAATGACATAACATTGAGAGCCAAATCTGAACCAAAGCTGCTATACAGCCACAACAGAAAAAAGACAACAGTGAAGGACGAACTAATAAGGCTGAAGAAGGAAAGAGAGGAACTCACTAGAAATGACTAGGAAGTCTGCATGGATCTGAACAAAAGATTTAATTAGGAATTGTAGGTGGAAACAGAAACACTATCAGAGAATCAAACAAGGAAGAGTGCACCAGCAAGTACTGGAGCCAATATACACAATGGGAGAAGAGACGAAGAAACTACTGAGTGAGCTAAAAATACCTCGAAGGCAATGGGGCCAGATGACATCTCTCTGTGGGTTCTATGACAAGGCGTGGAAGAACTGTGTCAGCCACTAGCTGTGATATTGAACAAGTCAATTGAAACAGGGCAACTATCGGAGGTGTGGAAAACAGCGAATGTAAACCCTCTATTTAAGAAAGGACACAAACAATAAGCGTTAACCTATAGGCCAATGTCAATGACATGCACATCATACAAGGTTATGGACGAGAGAGAGAGAATAACATATATATTGTACGTATGCCTTCATACTCTCTTCCCTTGTATGTTAACTTCCTATCCATCTTCGCCCTCTGTCCCGTCTCTGGTGAAGACAGAACACACGTTGCAGAACAAGCTTTAATTGGGACAACCTTTCGCTGTGTAGAGCTTCTTTATCAAGCCTCTGATCCGGTCACATGTACAGCACTCAACTTTCACTGTGGCGTCAGTACAAGGCTGACAAGGAGGTGCCCAGTTTGCTTGTCACCATGTTTGTTCAAGTGCAGGAAGGACGCGATGTTTGGTGTTGAATATCCGGAACGTGCCTGCGAGTTATTATTATTAATATTAGTAATAATAATATCATTATTATTATGTCCTTTGATGCTGTGTTCCTTTTTTACATTTCGTCTCTTGATTCAAGTAACTAAAACTATTCTCCCTTTCCTTGCATCACACCTGATAACCTTCCCTCCCCTTGACGCTGTATAAGCCCTAGGAGCTTAGAGCTTCCCCATAAATATAATAATAACTACCAGATGTGTCTCGGTGCCTGTGTGATCCGAGAAAGCTATCCCTGTATTCATAACCCCCAGCCCCCCTGTATCTCAATCCACGAAGTAGTGCAGAGTGCGGCATAAGTTTCTAATGAAGTTAAATATGTGGAAACTAATATTCCAATTTCCTCAATAAAAATGGGTATACACAGCCTAAAACTGGTGTCTACCTTCCACAGGGAAATACCTTTCAAGCCACTCCGTGGCGAAACGTTTCTTTAGTAAAGATCTTGATCTGCTCATGTGTGCCCTCATCTACATACCGTCGGTATCACCAGACTTCTCCAAGCACTGCAGTACAACGCTTCTTCTGCTAACATCAGCATTCAGTTACTGATCTTAATACTCTGTCTCAGCAAATACTTGACATGTTTGAGATGCTGTAGTCCTCTCAATTCCCGGTTTGATTCTCTTTGTATAGAATCTTAGAAAAAAAATAAACTTTGACGCTCTTCAAGCTAGACTAAGTTTTGTTCTAAATGTTGTGCTTCCTATGGACTTTCTGATTATCGTATGATTTGTACATGTAGTAATTTAATATAATCTAAATCTAAATTTAGACAGTGTCCACTCAACAGGGGTTAAGGTAACTTTTTCTCAGTATCTTACACTACCAGTGTCACTGGTAGTGTAGGAACGTTCATGTCTGTCACTGGTGGTGTGAGAGCGTAGTGAGAACGTTTATGTCTGAACGAGCAGTGTCACTGGTGGTGTGAGAACGTAGTGAGAACGTTTGTCTGAACGAGTAGTGTCACTAGTGGTGTAACAACGGAGTAAGAACGTTCATTTCTGAACGAGTGACACTGGTGGTGTGAGAACGGATTGGGAAAACCTCTAGGGAAGACTTAGTAAGACATCCTGGTGGTGGGGTGAACACGTGAACGCTCCTGCTTAGTAATTCCATTATAAGGTAGCACTCTCATCTTCAATTTGACACGGATTTCCTACACGGCTTGACCCACATCACTACGGTAACACTAAGCCTTTATTGACTCTCCTAAGAATGCTGAAGTATAATGAATAATCCTGTGGTGGTGGTGGTGGTGGTGGTAGTAGTAATATTAGCAGTATTTTTCTATTCATGTGGAATCGCTAAGCCTTTTAGGGTTATGCAGCGCCTGGGGAATGTGAGGTAGTCAGATCTGATCTGAGGAAGAATATGTTAGCTCCATTTCCTTGTTACAGGAACCCTTCACCACCCTCGAAGCACTCCCTTACCCTCCCCTTGAAGGAATGATAGACGCAGTGGTAGGATGGTTTAGGTTAAGTAAGGTTTGTCAGGAAACAGGACAAGTGTTTCCTGACGCGGGTCTTAGTCATATGACCCACCAATGGAGCTTTTGGTCATCTGACCAAGGCCTTCCGCTGGCTTACAGGTCCACCCCTTGAAAAATTATGGTTATTATAACCATTTTTGATCTAATGGTAGGAGTGACAGCCTCCTTATATCTGTAACACCTGGGTGTTAGCCGATAGTTGTGGGTCGCATCGTAAGTGTACCCTAGATAAGGCTGGGCTTGAAATAAACTGAGGTAGCATAATATCTCAGCCTGTACACCTAAAATCATGAAAACTTACAGCAGTGATACAAGACATTTTAAGGGTTAGTAAATAAATAAGAGTAGCCTAATAACTCCTAGGTACCTATTTACTGGTAGATGAACAATGGTAAGCGTACTAACGTCTCGACACTGAGCTAAGATGCTTCCAAGGGAAATTATCTGTAATACATGAGTGTTGGTGGGTAAGAGTTGGACCTGACTAGCTTGTGCTACTAGGTCTGATGCCGTGCTCCTTCCTTAAGTGGAAGTGACCTGATTAGGTGGGTCATTGGGATAATCCGGGGGGGGGACATGGACCTGCATCGCGTGGGTCAGTAGGCCTGCTGCAGTGTTCCTTCTTTCTTATGTTCTTAATTGCCTACAACTACAGCAGCCATGATAGTAACGGCACGTCAGGATGTTAAAGTCACTACACCATACACGTCTTCTCATCCTTGCAATATGCAAAATGGAGTGAGTGATGTTGAAAGTGTTTCTTCTTCTTTTAATGGGGGGGGGACCCCTACCTGTGTGGGAGACGGCCGGTTTGTGGAGAAAACTATATGTTTTTTTATTAATATATGTGAACCAAAATAGCTCTTGATTAACAAAACAGCGCATAAGAGGTAAAGTAAGATGAAGCCGGATATAAGTGTTTATTAATAGATCGCCAGGGGTGGCTGTAGGGTGGGAGGAACGTCAAGTGTGAGGGACCAGGGAGGAACGTCAGGTGTGAGGGACCAGGGAGGAACGTCAGGTGTGAGGGACCAGGGAGGAACGTCAAGTGTAAGGGACCAGGGAGGAACGTCAAGTGTGAGGGACCAGGGAGGAACGTCAAGTGTGAGGGACCAGGGAGGAACGTCAGGTGTGAGGGACCAGGGAGGAACGTCAGGTGTGAGGGACCAGGGAGAGAGTAACAGCAGTAGTGTTATGCTAGAAAGAGAGGGACGACAGTGTGGTGCTAGGGAGAGAAACAGCAGTAGTGTGGTACTAGGAAGAGACTAACAACAGTAGTGTGGTACTAGGGGGAGAGTAACAGTAGTAGTGTGGTACTAGGGAGAGTGTAACAGCAGTAGTGTGGTACTAGGGAGAGAGTAACAGCAGTAGTGTGGTACTAGGGAGAGTGTAACAGCAGTAGTGTGGTACTAGGGAGAGTGTAACAGCAGTAGTGTGGTACTAGGGAGAGAGTAACAGCAGTAGTGTGGTACTAGAGAGGAAGGTATCCAATGCTTCACATCCGCATGCCATCTGTCGGGTTGTGGTGAATCCGAACCTTCACAACCCACCCAAGAGGATCTGTCAGTAATGTTTTATGCTCGATCAGTGCTTACCTTCTGCCAATAACAACTTTTCATTTTACTGTTCAAGTTAGGCTATGCCACCCAAGTAACTAGGCGAGAAATGACAACTTTGCTATATTACATCGAGTTGTTGGAATGTTAATGTTGGCAACTTGACTTCGTAGGGAGAACCATATCAGCAATGACACTGATAAATAACAGATTCTTGCATGCGAATCAAATAGTGAAATCGTTTCCACAGAATATGCTGAGCTGGAAATTCCACTGGCTTTCCTCGAAGTAAATCTAAAAATGAGGACTGACGATTAGGTTAGGTTAGATAAGGTTCGTCAGGAAACAGGACAAAGTGCTTCCTGACGCGGGTCTTAGTTATATGATGACCCGCAGCTGGAGTTTTTGGTCATCTGACCGAGGCCTTCCTGGCGATGTTAGCTTTGCTTTATCAGAGAGTGGCCTGTTACTATGGGTGATAACTTAGTTCACCACAGTGGGTCTTGCACCAAGATATCACGTCAGCCCAACTTCACCACTTTCCTGTCACGTCAGCGTTCTAATATCTCACTCAGCTACTCTGCCACTTGGTACAAACAAGGCTGCCTCAGTTCTCTCACATACGCTTGAAGGTGTAACTTTATTCAGGTACAGGTACACACAAATACAATTACATAAATTATCATACATAGCAGCATAAGTGTAGATTACCTAGGATAACCCAAAAAAGTCAGTGGCTTATTTCCATTGGGGTCCTTGTAATATCTTATTACTTGAAACTTTACAGTTAAAAAAACGCTAACTCAGCTATGTGAAAAAGTTACAATACAAGGAGATATACTAGGTGGAATAGGTATATGCAGGAATTTTAGGTGGATCTACAGACTTAAAATAATATATAAAACGAGGAGGTAGAGGAGGGGGAAACCGTACCTTATTTCTGTACCAAATGAACGCACGAGATGACAACAACTGAAGCGAGAATTTGAGTGCTATTGTTATGTCTCCAAGCAGATCGTTGGTGCCACTGACCAATGTTGATTACAGGTTTATGCTTGAGTCACGTCACTATGCTGTAAAACAAGCATTAGTAATAATAATTCGGTTAAACATATAGGGGTAGGATACAGGGTGTTAAAAGCGGGTAAACTACCGAAATTGATAAGAAGCAAATGTAGTTCAAATTTACATTGATGAATAAGAATTACATTACAGTGGAAGAAAGAGTTCACAATGACCTGGAGTTTGACTTGATAATGAAGTACGACGGATCTGAACGTCGTACATCATTATCAAGTTTCCTCTCCACAGTGGGGGTTATCTGTGAACTGATAAACATAATTCAGTTTTACAGTGAGAATGGGAAAAAACAGGGATGGTAGGGAATGATAAAAAAAAATACATTTTTAAATGAAATTAAAAAAAAGACATGATAAACACAAGAAAGTGGTTGGGCACTACAGGCACTCTTGTTTGGTTAAGATACGGACGGATGATAGACAATACGGATATTGGAGTAAATGTGGTAAAATAGAATGGGAATAGGTTATAAATAGCTGACTCTGTTGTTCATAACTGTTGACCTTCATGAAGAGTAAACAGCGAATTAATTCTGCTAACCATATAGATATAGGCTCATATATTCTGTGATGTAGAGTATATACGCAATAAAGTATACAACTTTTCAGTGTGTATACACTGCACACTATTATTGTAGCGGTTATTTGCAGCTTTTTGTGTTCCCCGTGATCCCCGATTCTGTTTATCAATATCTAACATTAGCTTCTTTATTCCTTTATTTACGTGGGATGAATTTGAACTTGCTGTTAAGAGGTTTAAATCAGTTTTATCTGAAGCGTTGTATTTTGTAAATATTCTCTGGAACTTCACGTATCTCGCTCGTGGACTCAACGAGTTGTGGTTGTGAATCTTAGCTAGTGGCTTAGCTGTGTTTACTAATCGTGACTTTTCACTCATTCCTAGCCTTGTGGGTCCCACCATACCCATTCTTAAATCTGTGGTTGAGTAGGTCCATGAGAGATATGATTCCAACGTTTAAAATATTTACAAAAGTTGACTGTGTGGAAAAAAAAAAATGATTAAAAGACAGGAAAAAGTTACAAGGTGCACAGAATCTAATGACATTCCAGTATAATGTCATCTGGTTCGCTTCTTTTAGTCTCTTTAAAAGTCATTTCCCTTAGTTCAGGGACTAATTTTGTTGCAAATCTGTTGACTCGCGCTAGCTTCTGGACACAGTTGATCAGAAGTGGGCCCCATGCTGCGCTATATATTATGTGAACGGTCTGATACTTGCTGTATAAAGAATAATTGTTTACGTTTCTGAAAGCTATTTGGTTGATATGCCCCCTGGCGATATGCTCGGTCATATGTGCATGTGTATTTGTGTATGCTCACCTATATGATTGCAGGGATCTAGTCTCAGTTCCTGGCCCCGCCTCTTCACTGGCAGCTACTAGGTTCACTACTTCGAGAGCCTTATCGTACCTTTCCTTAAAGCTATTTATAGATCCACTGTCCATATCGTTCCATCTGTTAGTTAGTTAGTTAGTTAGTTAGTTAGTTAGTGTGTGTGTGTGTTAGTTACCATTTTGTCCTAGGCACATGTCGATTAGACACTAGGCCTGTTGTGTGTGTAGGTGTGTGGTGTGTGTAGGTGTGTGTAGGTGTGTGTAGGTGTGTGTGTAGGTGTGTGTGTGTAGGTGTGTGTGGTGGTGTGTGTGTGTGTGTGTGTGTGTGTGTGTGTGTGTGTGTGGTTCCCATTTGTCCTAGGCACATGTCGATTAGACACTAGGCCTGTTGTGTGTGTAGGTGTGTGTGTGTGTGTAGGTGTGTAGGTGTGTGTGTAGGTGTGTAGGTGTGTGTGTAGGTGTGTGTGTAGGTGTGTGTGTAGGTGTGTGTGTGTGTGTGTGTGTGTGTGTGTGTGGTGTGTGTGTGTGTGTGTGTGTGTGTGTGAAATGTGAATCTAGTTTCAATCAAACTGTTCTGTATAAAGTGATAACAAATTCTAATTGTATTACTATAAATTAAAGCAAAAAATTAACAGATGTCTGTGATGAGATTACTTACGAAAATAGTCAAAATTTTGTGACTTTTCAGCTTGTTAGAAAACATAGGAGACGTGGGTTTATGTTACAAAGATAGCATTATGACTGTCATCTAACCTTAATCCTAAGACAATCACTTAATTTTGGACAGTTAGCGTAATTATCCTCAATTATCACCATTATTTGATATGACTTGGAAAAAAATCTGTTTTAGGTGCTAGGACAAAAAAAAAAAGAGCCATAAAATCCAAGGTCAGAAGATATATGAGGGCAATTCAGGGAGTGTGGGTACTCACATGGCCTGGTGCTCCTTACTGGTATTAAAGGTTGCTGGGTTATGACGTCAATGAGCACACAAACAACGAGGCAGACGGTGAGTACTTTAGCAACTGTGTACATAAACTTTCAGAAGGTCCTTATAGGTCGATAGCCGTTAAGCCCAACAAGAAAGGAAAATTCTAGCGTTTAATAGCAGTTTAAACAATGTACCATGCTTAGTTAATATAGTACTATATCACTAATAGCAAAGTGTTTTAATGGGAAAATACTGAACTGGATGTTTATTTAAAGTACTGTGCTAGGCTCATCTCCCCTTCTTTCTCTATTAATCCTCGTAGGTTATACTGTTCCCACACTGTTCAAGCTGACCAACTAGTCCACAGGGATATACGCTATGAAGGGTGGGGCAGGTTACAACAGTTTCCAAGATCACTATTATCGAATATTAGTTATTCCTCATAGGCGATCATGGTAAGCATACTCGTGTAACTATATAGTACTTTGTTATGAGAGAGCAAAGTGTCTTATAGTTTTATTTGAAAGGGAACTATGCTAATCTAACAGAGTATTAACTTACAATGTACTGTAGTTGGACGAGCGTCAGGGTAGTGGTGGACGCTGCGCAGTGCTGTCTTGGGTGGGGCATTTCCCGTCACATACTAGAAAGAGTAGGATATAAGCAGTGTTCAGGCGACATGTGTGTCAAGACGAGTGCTAGGAAGAGAGAGAGAACGTTCGGCAACCGTAGATAGTACATATAAAAGGTTAACTGATTGGTTACCGCACGCGCTGAGTGGGTCTAGCGAGCGAGGGAGTAAGCCAGTTGGTGTTGTTTTGTGGTGGTGAGAGGGCGCTTCTCTAGGGGTTGAAGCTGACACTGCTGCTGCTGGGTTATCCAAGGGTCAATGTGTGAACTTGAGAAGAGTGGGAATCTCCCAGTGTTCAGGTGAGGCGCGGGATTAGCAGCCCACCATGCGATACGTCTTTAATTATTAATACTTAGTGCCACTATTCATGACTTTCACAACCACTGTCGTATAAAAGCAAGAACCCTGAACTTTCTCAGCTTGTACCACACTCCTCCCTATGATACAACCAATCTAAGTCACTTGGACGAACTATTATGCTGCTTCATACAAGGCTCCATTCACAAAACTGGTGATAAGGGGAAAACAGTTTAAATCTGGTAGATCGACCAGTGTGCGTGAGAGAGACGCGTGGTTGCCTCTCTACTCTCTAACATTCTCTCTGTCTCTCTCCCTCTCAGTGTTTGATCGCCTACCTCCCCGTCATCCGGTGTCACCTACACAACTCTTTGAGCAGTGAGGAAGACTACATTGTGCTCTAGTGTTCTCCAACAATCGTTACAATGGGAGATGTAAAGCTCGTCACATTGCTGGACATTGCCAAGGTAAGATGCTTAGCTGTCATGATCGGCTGGTCACTTGGTAGTAGGGATCAAGTCCCCAGATTAGCTGATTGCTGCTAAGGCTATCATGGACATCACTTACACTGGTTACCTTGACCTTTTTGACCCGCTCATGATGGATGAATATAAGAACTTCCTGTTCGTCAGTGGTCATGTGTTTAGAATGTTATGTTTAGTGGAGGCTGCGTGTATATGCATCAAAATGATCATTATTTTCTTTAGTATATATTATACATTATACATGGTAATTATATACGTTCTTGATAAACATAACTGTGTATAAGTTACCATCAAATATTGTTCAGGCATCTGAAAACAGTATATAGAAATCAAAGTGCTATTCACTACTTATTGTTGTTCTTGGATATCGTAAAAAATCTTCCTAATGGTGACCCATATATCTAGGCCAAGTGAGTATCAACAAGCTAGCTAGCCTTGACGTTGCCTTAAAGCCGATCTCTCCATCCCCAAAACGCCCTTGAACACCTGAGTTCTCAAGGCATAGCAGTGGCATCTGACCCACAGAACGTGATTTACTGCTTTGCATTATCCTAATTGTTTGTGGGGGGGTCGAATCTCCGCTCCAGGACCCATGATGTATATGTGTGAAGAGTCTGGAAAACGGTGCTAATCTCCCTGCTTCTTATATTGAGGTGTCCTTACATGATATAGTATACACATACTAGTGTATCTATATGCACTTGAAAGTTTAATATATTTTGTTTATTATTTTCGTGGGGAAGCGCTAAAACCGTAAGGATAATCAGTGCCAAGGGAATGGGAGGTAATCCGGTTTTGATTCAAGGGGAAAAGAGGGTAGCTCCAGTTTTCTGGTCCGAGAACATTTCACCAGCATCAAGGGTTTTGTTAGTGTGTGCGTAAATTCACTTGAACTTTTTTTTTTTTTTTTACAAAATTGAATTCAGCATTGTGCGACGACTGCTGTGCATGATGACATTACAGGATACCTGGAGGTTACTCCGGGGATCAACGCCCCCGCGGCCCGGTCCATGACCAGGCCTCCCGATGGATCAGGGCCTGATCAACTAGGCTGTTACTGCTGGCCGCACGCAGTCCAACGTTTTAGTTTAATATGTTTATTATGCACCCCATACCCATCCTGTGGGCGGTAGTCAAAAGATTACAGAGGTACATAATTGGTCCAGGGACTGGACTCCAAAGTTTTGATAGCTGAGCAAGTTACAAAGGTAATGAACTAGATCTGGTCATAATCATGACCAAGTTACAAAGGTAGTCCAACGTACGAGCCACAGCCCAGCTGATCCGGCACTGACTTTAGGTATCTGTCCAGCTCTCTCTTGAAGGCAGCCAGGGGCTTATTGGCAATTCCCCTAATACTTGATGGGAGGCTGTTGAACAGTTTTGGGCCCCGGACACTTATGGTGTTTTCCCTTAGTGTACCAATGGCGCCCCTACTTTTTATTGGGGGCATTTTGCATCGCCTGCCCAGTCTTTTACTTTCGTAGGGAGTGATTTCTGTGTGCAGATTTGGGACCATTCCTTCCAAGATTTTCCAAGTGTAGATTATGATATATCTCTCCCTCCTGCGTTCCAACGAGTACAAGTCAAGTGCTTACAAGCGTTCCCAGTAGTTAAGGTGCTTGACAGAACTTACACGTGCAGTAAAGGATCTCTGTACACTCTCTAGATCTGCGATTTCACCTGCTTTGAATGGAGATGTTAATGTACAGCAGTATTCCAGCCTAGAGAGAACAAGTGATTTGAAAAGGATCATCATTGGCTTGGCATCTCTCGTTTTGAAAGTTCTCATTATCCATCCTATCATTTTCTTTGCACGTGCGATCGTGGCACTGTTGTGATCCTTGAAAGAGATCCTCAGACATTACTACTCCCAGGTCCCTTACATTATTTTTCCGCTCTATTGTATGGCCGGAGTCAGTAGTATATTCTGTTCTAGCTATTATCTCCTCCAGGTTTCCATAACGGAGTAGTTGGAATTTGTCCTCATTGAACATCATATTGTTTACCGTTGCCCACTGGAAAACTTTGTTTATATCTTCTTGGAGGTTAACCGCGTCCTCAGCAGATGACAGCCTCATGCAGATCCTAGTATCATCCGTAAAGGATGATACGGTGCTGTGGTGTATACATGAGAATAAGGAATAAGATGGGGGCGAGTACTGTGCCTTGTGGAACAGAGCTCTTCACTATGGCAGCCTCCGATTTAACTCTGTTGACCACTACTCTTTGTGTTCGATTTGTTAGGAAGTTGAAGATCCATCTCCCCACTTTCCCAGTTATTCCTTTAGCACGTATTTTATGGGCTATTACGCCATGATTACATTTGTCAAATGCTTTTGCAAAGTCTGTGTATATTACATCTGCATTCTGATTTTTTTTCCAGTGCATCCAAGGCCATGTCATAGTGATCTAGTAGTTGTGAGAGCAGGAGCGACCTGCCCTGAACCCATGTTGCCCTGGATTGTGCAGATTTTGGGAATCCAGGTGATTTGCAATCCTGCTTCTTAGCACTCTTTCAAAGATTTTTATGATGTGGGACGTCAGAGCTATTGGTCTATAGTTCTTAGCTAATGCTTTGCTGCCACCTTTATGGAGTGGGGCTATATCCGTTGTTTTAAGTGACTGTGAATTTCACCCATGTCCAAGCTCCTCCTCCATAGTGTACTTAGGGCACGCGAGAGGGGTTTCTTGCAGTTCTTAATGAAAACAGAGTTCCACGAGTCTGGGCCCGGGGCTGAGTGCATAGGCATGTTGTCAATGGCGTTTTCGAAATCTATCGGAGTTCGGGTAATGTAGGAAATCTGGCATACATTTATGAAGTTTTGAGGCTCATTCATGAAGAAATCATTTGGGTCGTCGATCCTCAGACCGATTAGTGGTTCACTAAACACAGAGTCGTACTGGGATTTCAATATTTCACTCATTTCCTTGTCATCTGTGCAAGTCCCATCCTGTCTGAGTAAGGGCCCGATACTAGATCTGGTATTTGCCTTGTTTTTGGCATATGAAAAGAAATATTTTGAATTTCTTTCAATTTCACTAATAGCTTTAAGCTGCTCCTGCCTCTCCTGGTTCCTGTAAGAGTCATTTAACTTAAGTTCGATAGTTTCCACTTCCCTGGTCAGCGCCTCCTTTCGTGTATCAGATATTCTAGCACTCCTGAGGAGCTCAGTGACTTCGTCGTCTTCTGTAGAGGGAGCGTCTTTCTCTCTCCAGTTTACTCCTGCTCTTCTTTCGTAGGGGAATATGCCTAGAACATGCTTCGGCTGCCAGGAAGTTGAACCAAAATTAGTCTTTTCTCTGCCGTATACTTTCATATTGGTGCCTTGATGCCAGTGATTGCTTAATAAAAGGAACTGAAGATACCCTCCCTTTCCTTGGAACAGTCCAAATTACTTCCCAATAATAGCAAAACGCTACATTCCCAGTGCTTCCCCATGATTTTTTTTTTCATTTTCAAACCTATATATTGGGTTACACACACAAAGCAATGAAATCTGTCAGCATCAGCTGGGAGACGTCATGGATGGGGGGAGTGAATGGGTTATTGTAGTGTAATTAGCTACGGGAACTTAGAGCTGGAGTCGAATTGTTTCTTGGTTGTTTACCATCCTATAGAATGGCCTGTAACTCATGCAGGGGTCACTGTGTCAGGGTGTGGGGGGGGGGATGGGGATAGGAAAGAGGTTGGAAATTCCCTTTCCTCTCAGGCTGTAACATCCTTCACTTGGTGGACTGACACGAGGTATGTACAGAGGTTTGTGTCTGCCCATATTCACTAAGTTTACGTCTCCTTAAGGGAGGTTCTGTGACACAGGTGAGAGGGCTCTTGATCCAAGGAAATGGACCTGCACTTCCATGGATCGAACCTAAATGCCTCCCCCCTTCTCCCAGGCGCTGTATGACCCCTGCGGATTTTGCATCCCTTATGAATATAATAATAATTACCGTATCTGAAACATTTCCCTAGTTTCCTCTTAAAGAGGAAGCTAGACAGTTTCCTCCGCCAAGTGGCAAATCAACCTGGCTGTGATGAATGTGGGCTAGCGGACCGCCAGTAGCAACGGCCTGGTTGACCACGCAAGCACCAAAGAAGCCTGGCCTAGGGCCGGGCTGTGAGAGTTGGAAAACAGTCCATCAAAGGTATATAATATAGAATACTTGTAGTATGAAAGTGAATTGCTGCTTTAATTAATGATCCTCGTGCAATCGATAGGCTTTAAATAATGAAGTGAATGACGGAAGTGTTAATTATATTCAAGGGGAAGTGCTAAGCCCGTTTGGGTCAACAGCTCTTTTTTCCTCAGATCCAGTCTGAGGTAAAAGAGGATAGTTGAAATTTCTTGTACCTAGCATCAAGGAAGGCCCCTTTGAAGAGAATGAGGGAGGGGGGGGATGGGATGTACGAGTCTTGTTATTTATGACTGTTAAGCTATTGCGGAAGCCTTTTATTGGTATCATTCATGGCGAGTTATGTGATACGGGTAATGGAAAGCGGCGAGTTGTATACCTCGTAGGATTGAACATTAAAATGGTATAAAATACCGACAGGTTGTTAGGTAAGACACATATGCAACAGTTAGGTATCTTTATTATGAAACGTTTCGCCTACACAGTAGGCTTCTTCAGTCAAGTACAGAAAAGTTGATAGAAGCAGAAGATACTTGAAGACGATGTAATCAGTCCATCACCCTTAAAGTTTTGAGGTGGTCAGTCCCTCAGTCTGGAGAAGAGCATTGTTCCATAGTATGAAACAATATGGAGATGAAGTGACAGAATTGAGCTTTTTATAGCGCCAAGAGGTGAGACGTAGGCCACTAGGAGAGGTAAGAACTCAGATGTTGAAAGGTCAGGTCCCTCTCAAATCCAGCCGCTCTCACTAGTGGAAGTTGTCGAAGTTGATTGCAGGTCTGTACCAAGATACCCTGTGTAGGCGAAACGTTTCATAATAAAGATACCTAACTGTTGCATATGTGTCT